TTTCCCATTCTCCCCAGTGGAATGTACTTAGAGTTAGATACCCTGATGCTTCAAGTATCAGACAGATTATACCCTGACTGGAATACATATCTATTCAGAAGTGAGCCCAATTAGTGCTGCTAAGATTGTGCCTTGGATTTTCAAGCCTTTACACCTTTGTCTCGTTTTGACATCATGTCTTGACATCTGTGCTTTACAGGGCTCTTCAAGGGAGTATGTCAAAACTACTGTCCGATCTCACTGGGGATATGGTGAAGCCAAGACAAGTCAGCAGTTTATCGAAAGCTCTCCTGGAAATTCACGAGAAACAGTTGCAGCCTAATGCATACCCTCTAAGCGATTCCATAATAAACTATCTAAAAAAACTAGAAATGGATCCTGTTCCAACCAACGTGGAGCTCCTCTTAAGTGAGAGTGAGATGAAGGAGCCCAAGGAAGTATTGGATGTGAGGGCAGATGCGCATCCTGCCCGAGAGAGTCAGGTGGTAACAGGGGAAACTGTGGCTTCAAGAGATCTTCCTGCCTTCCAAAAGCTTGATGCAGAAGCAGCCAGTTGCTTGAGCACTTTAGAGGGTCATGAGCTAGATGAGACTATTTACATTCCACTGAGTAGCAGTCCATCTCAGAAACCAGTCACGACAGCTGAAAGGAAGACAGTCGTACAACAGAACTCGATTCCCCACAAACTGGAGTATGACTCTAAGCAGCCAAGCAAGGTTGAGATGCTGAGCAACACCAAGATTGGTGATAAATTCTACGGTAGCTTTGGTCGAAAAATGACTGTTGAAAATAAATCTGAAACTCTGGGGAGGATAGAGAAGCTGGAAAGTGAGAGACTCCAAATGCAGCCAGAAGAAAGAACTAATGGGTCTGCTAATGTGATTTTGAACAATCCAGGCAGACTTCAGCCTGGTAAACATTGTTATGCTCAAAAAGGAAATGGGCAGAAGCACGCTGGAATTTCTGCTTCTGACTCCAGTTTTTCCACTCTTGACTGGATGTCAGGAAAATCTGAGTGGACTATATCTTCCTTTTCAACGTTCACATCCAGAGATGAAGAAGACTTCAAGCATGGATTAGCAGCCTTGGATGCCAACATAGCAAGACTGCAAAAGACATTGCAGAACAGCTTGAAAAAACAAGGAGACTTTGAAAATACCTCAGTAGTTCCGGATAACTAGGGAAAATGTACTTTTTAAAAAGCTTGGTGATTTGTAACCTTTTTTTATTCTTTTGAAACTTCGTCAGTGAATAACTTACTGATAAATTAACAGTTAATTAAAAGGCTGTTTCATCACTGAAAACTTACTGATAAAATAAATCAAGGGCGAATTTCAAATGGATCTGCAAATTTTAATATTTACAGATGTACGATTGCTTTGAAATGTATTATTAAAGGAATAGTGGCTTTCATGAATGATTGATAAAGGCCAAACAAAAAGTGTGTAATATCTTTCTAGAATATGCATACTGGAAATATATTGCCATGGATGTCATAATAGAGAAGTTTTAATCTTACAACTTGTTGATTTGGCTAATAAGATTTTGGCCCATAACTTAAATGCAGGCTTGCAAATACTTACTGCCCTCTTGCATATTTATATGCTTAGAATCAGAGATGGGAGAGGCCAAATATTTCATCCAGTCCACAAATGTTTGCATACACATATACTCAGGTACTCTGTGCACGATTCTCTACAGATGCTTTTTGCAAATTGTTCAAAAGAAGATTATCTGTCTCTGAAGACTTCTAAGACAACTCACTATGTCAAGTAGCAGCCTCTTCCACTGACTGAAGCTTGTATTATCAAGATGCTCCTCCTGATATCCAACTATGAACATCTTTCCTTGTACTTTACTTCGTTGGTTTTAGGTCTACCCTCAAAGTCAATAAAGTCCCTTCCCTCTTCTGTGTGACCCTTAAAATATTTGAAGATTGTAATCGTATCTGCCTTGTCACCAGCTAATCCTTTCAACCCAGAAGCACCTTAAACAGTGCTTCCAACATGAGTGGGATAGGGATCTTATCTGCCTTTAGTCATTTTTCTGTAGGGTAAAAAACACCCCAATCCTTTGCCCTTCCTATGGCTTGGTTTCCAGACCTCTCTCCCTCTGAATTTTCTCCAGTTTTTCGTCTGGTTGAACCCTGGTGCTCAGGATCAGACACGGTTTCTGGAGGGTGGAATTAAAGCACAACACAGTTTCTTCCAGCAAACTGGACTCTTTATGTTTCTGCTAATGCAGCTTTTATCATTTTAGCATCTGCATCAAACTATTGGCTAATTTTAATTTCTAGTCAACAAAGTCACTCTGATTGCCTTCATAATATAGCTCCTTCCTATATTTGTGCCTTACATTTTTCATACCCATTTTTCTTTTATATAGCTTCCACCCTATTCCTATCAGCTCTCTATTCAAGACTGTTTAGATCTTTTACAATTTCAACCACTCCTCCCAATTTTGTGTCATCTGCAGACTTTATAAGTATTCCCTTAACTCCAAGTGATTGATAAAAATGAACAGCCGAGGACAAGATAGCCCAATGGCATTCCATTCAGCAATTCCACTGCAGCTTAAATAGAGCTGTTAATGATTGCTTTTGGGGTTTAGTAATTTAGTCAATAGTGAGTTCATCTCCCAATAGTATCTATTCCAGGGGTGTCAAACTCATAGCCATGGCCCGGATGCATCACACACTGGTCATGTTTTAGCAGAGGGGGGGAAAGTTGATATATGTCACGTGAAAGAGCATTAGAAGGCACCATGTCAAAGGCTTTGCTGAAGTCCAAGAAGTGAATGCTCATGCCTACTGATCTACTAGATTCCTTACAAAAAGGAGTGTTTTGAGAATCTGTTTGGTCTGGGGGTTAAGGCACCAGGCTAGAAGCCAGGAGGCTTTCTTAGGCAAGAAAGCTCTCAGCCCAACTCACCTCACAGGATTGTGGGGAAAATGCAGGGAGTGGGAGGGACTAATGTGATAGCCACTTCCAGTTATTTATAGAAATAATAGAGTGATAGAAATAGATAGGATATAGATGATGGTGATAGATGATGGGTGGGTGGATGGATGGATAGAAAACAAACCCATGTTGTCTCCTGTTAATTGTAGCATCCTTATCTAAGCACTGATAAATGTGCTGCTTGCTCATCTGTTTAGATGCCTTCATCCAGTATGGCCATTATACTGATAGGTTGGTAATTTCCCAGTTACTCCTGACTGGTGATTTAAACAATTGTAGTTTCACTAATTCTTAATAGAAGAAAATGTCGTCTTGACAGCTTGAAGTGTAATTACTTCCAACTTTGCTCATGGATGCCTAATCTACTTCTATGCCCAGAAACACCATCCTACTTAACGAAAATCACCTTCAACAAATATTTCACTAGCATCAGCCATAATTGTATCACTTTCTTAGAAACAGTCACAATGGGCTCTTCCTCTGAATACTAAAATGTCAGACAATTCCACCTGGATTTTCGGTGCTAAATATAGAAATTCAGAACTTAGCACACCTTCATTAACTTGTGTTTGCAGTTCACAATCCATGGGATTGCCACCAATCTCTTCAGTGCTTTGCCTTCTCTGAAAACACTTTTATTCAATATCTCCCTCTCACTCATATATACATCATTACAATATATACAAGCAATCACATACATTGCTTTACTCCAATATTTTCAAATTGTTGCTATAACAAAACAGATTCCCTCTCCCTCAGAGTTCATTAGCAGATAATTTGCAGATTGAGCAGACTCCTTCAAATACTTATAACAAATGAATATTTTCCAGGAGGCCAGGAAGGAGAAATGCTAATATTTTAGCTCCATAAAGGAAATTCTACAGCAGATGCAATTCTTTTTGTGGGATATTAGTACAGATATTTTCTAATAGTCTGGCTTTGGAATTTCTACCCAGAAAAGTAATGATAGAAAAGAGAAAACGAGTGAAATGAGCAAGTGATTTGAAAGTTTCCTTTGAAGGTCAAAAGTAGAATTTATGAGCCAAGTCATTTTAAGGAGCCTGGCTTAATTTCAGAGAGATTAATATGAGAGATAGCTGACCTTGTTTCTACAAAGGAGAATGAATGCCTTTATGTTTACTCTAAATTTAAGCATCTGCACTATATTACAAGAATGAGTTTAGATATCCTTTGTGTACTATTTACATATTGCATTGTACTTGGCTTTTGGTGAGGGGGTTGCTTATTAATTTATTCCATACTGGAAGCGGTAGATTATCATCAAAAATATCACTGTAGTTTGGTGTTATCTAAAAATTGTATAAATTATGTATCAATATTATTTTGCTTATTCTGTTTACATTAGTGAAGCAGTTGATGCCACATCTGATCAACTTTGATTGATCTAGAAAGCTAAGTAGACATAAGCCTAAAAGACAAGTGTTGTAGGCTAGATTGCCATCGCTGAAATTTTTGAGATGGTAAATTTCTATTTTATTCCTAGAAAATTGCATGGCTGTTCTCTGTGTACATTTTCAGGAAGTGAGCTTGACTTTACTTCTTAGTTTGTTACTATCTTTCATGGTCCCATGCTATTTATATGACTAGCACAGTTCTTTGTAAGTGCCCTGCTAAGTAATACTTGTACATTCATTTACCTAACCAACCAGGCTTTGTCTTGCTAATTATTATACACCCTAGTTGTCTTAGTATATTAAACCCCCACTTCTTTTTTAAAGACTGTTATCCTATAAATACCCCACTGAATACAAGAGTTACTGTATCTACATGGAAATTTGAGTGGGATGTCCTATGTGAAGTAAGATCTCAACATTTTAGCAACTTAAATATTTACAGATTGCCTTAGTTAACAAGGCAGAATACAGAGGGGCCATGATAATAGGAGTGAAGAGTAATACCAAAGCAACAATTGTGTTTTAGAACATTTTATTTGGTGCACTTCATATTTGGCAAGACAAAAAAAAGCATTGTATTTCAATTTCAATTCAATTCTGCAGTCACAAAATGAATGCTGGCTTCTTAAGCTTCAATTTTCTCACAGTCTTTGTTTATTATTTTCAGCAGAATATAGCAAAGCAGGATCCCAGTTACCTGACAAGAAAGTAAAGAACATGCAGAAAGTGATTTAATTCTGACATGTGGAGAGTAGGAAAATGAAACAGACCTGTTACAGTAGATGACATTTAGCTCTAAGCTCTGAAAGCAGTAGCATGATAGAGCTACTGTAGAAGAGAAACTATGTTAAGGATCCCAAATGTTTTGTTTTTACTTTAAAAGTCTAGGCATTCTGATTTGTCTCTCCAAACAAGCACCAAATGCTACTACTCTAGTCCTTTATTTAAGCCTTTTATGCTTACCTGACCAAATACTGTAAGAATAGCAAGTCCCCCCAATGCAGAAATGTTTCTTTCAGTCCAGGTGTTTAGTTTTAGAAGGCAGCCCTGAGAAAGAAAGGGGTGGTGGTGTGCATTGTAATAATTGCAATGGATATTTTGTAAAAGCTAATCAAACTAAATTCAGCCAACAATTAAAACCATCAGAGAGCTCAGAGAGAGAATGAGGGACAACCTACAGGCATAAGATTATAAATGTTAGAAGTTATGCTTCTTTGGGATTGAGGAAACAGTTTTACAGTGGTTCTATTCCTTTCTCAATGACTAGTTCTAATCAGAGCGGGTAGGAGAGTTAGCAAAAGAATCCACTTAAAACCAAAATATGCCATGAGTTAGATTCTATCATCACTATGCAGATCAGGGGTCTTCAAACTTGACAGTTTTAAGACTTGTGGACTTCAACTCCCAGAATTCCTCCTCCAGTCATGTTAGCTCAGGGATTCTGGGAGTTGAAGTCCATAAGTTAAACTTACCAAGTTTGAAGACCTTTGATACAGATGTAGCAACTAGGAAGGAATCATTCTGAACAACAAGGTTCTTTACTTAATCTATTTAACAATATATTCCCGGTAAGAACTGTAGCCAACTTTAAAGCACTTTAGATTCAAATGCACCCTTTAACAAAAAAGTGGGGGGGGGTGGCAATATGGAATTTTACCTCCTGATTGATGCCAATTATATCTTCATTTAGATCAGTAACACAGCTTTCCACGGGCACTTTGCAGCAGCTTTTGGGGACAGATGAGAAGCGCAGTCCAAAGGTTGTATTTTGCCAGTCTGTATAGTTCTTCACACCACAGCATTGATACTACAGTAGAGAGGAAAAAGCATGTGATCTGGTAACAGAAAATACAGTTTCATGAATCAGTAGCTTCACTCCCTTAAGTGAGTGCAGAGATTTTCTGCTCAGTCTAGCCATACATCTTTCTTCAAAGTTCTTGAAAGTGGAAAGATGAAGATAGGATGGAATCAACGCAGATCATAGATGGTAGTTTCCTTTCTTTGTTTCCCTAATGTTAGATTTTGGAATTGTACACCATTCCAAGTTTTTCCTATAAGAAAGGTATCATCCTCGCTAAATATTTACAATGTCTTCTGGAATCATGAAAATATTGGTTTACATTGCCTCAACAACAGATCAGTAAATAATCTAGACATCCACAGTAGATAAATGGGAAACGGTCATCTTGGACAGAATTCCAAAAGGCTTTGCAGTTCTGGAACACTCTCATTTTCTTAGACATTTTCTTAGATGCAGCTGAGGTCAGATTCATATTAGGGGTGCCCATGTCATTTTCCCTATGTATCTACAGGCATGAAAAAAAAAATCCACAGAGGTGATTTACTTGGAGCAATTCTATTTGAACATTCCCTTTGAACATTACCCAATAATTACCTGGCTGCAGAATATATTGAACCTTTAACCGAGTTGGAAAGCATGCTTTGAGACCAAGGGCAATGAGCTACATGCCAGTTAGCTCCAGTTTAGCCCAGAGGGATTCTATAAACCCTTCCTCGATACAGATCAGTAGTCTAACCAAACTGTGTTAGTTCAAACTTTTAAATTGTAAAACAACAAAACGGAAGCAACACCGATTCTAAAGGTTTGAGCCTATTTACTAGAATAGGTATGTAATTTCTATAGCTGTTCCTCTAATGCAAGTGAGAATTCATGCTACCAATTTTTGTCTTAAAGTAGGGCTCTAGTAAATAGCCCCCCCCCGGGGGGGCAGGGAAGCTTTCTTTTACCTCTGCCTGGAGAATATCCACCCTCTTGGTGGCCTGCCTGTTCTTCTCATACTTGTTCAGAATCTTCATTAAATCTTTGGATACAGTCTGCTGTAGCTGTGCAGATACAGGATAAAGCAAATTACTATTGCACAGGTTGTATTGGAAGTTTAAGCTGAGACAAGTTGATTTAATAGAGAATTATTATTCTCCTGTTCTAGCTCCCCAAACATTTGGGAGTTTAATACTATAGTATGGGGAAGCATGAATTAAACATTGTTAAAATTGAAATTACTAAATATTACTCCCCACCCCACCTTTTCTCAGTTGTTGGGTACGAAAGAAAATGATTCTTGGACATTCAGAACATATGACTTTTCAAAATCTTTTCTATGCTTACAACTGACCTTGTTTAGACTCCTTTTGGTGTGAATCTGTAAAATTGTACCACTAATAGCAATGAAAAGCCATTTATATTTTAGGTTAACCAATTATTACTAATTATTTGGAAGAGAAGATGATCACTTCCTCTGAAATCAAATAGTGTTACAAGATGTCTTTTATCTGCCAATTATGAACACTATCCTGACATGATTGGCAGTGGTGTTCCTTGTAAGATAGCTTGTTTCTGGTCAATTGCTCTTCAACGTTTGGGTACTCAACTGTATAGGAAAAAGCAGCCAATTTACACTGCCCCCCACCAGATTGTTTTATATTTTTTGAGCATAATCAGTTGAATATTAAATTACACATCAAACTCTGCTCCATTGTAGTTACCTCCTCTGCCAGAGTGATTTGGGAGATAACTGAGCATACAATATTAGGCTACCAGATAATCATTGTTTGTATAAATCTTGTCACCCACGTCCTCTCTTTCCATTTCTCTATTTTAGAGTGACAGAGAACACCAAAAAAAAGCACCCTTTATTAAGGAAATGGCAAAGTTCAGAATGCTGTACTGGACATACAGATAGCTATCAGAAATCAAGAATTAGTTCTCATTGCGGCAATTCTCCATTCCTTTTGAGAATACACACCTCAAGAAGCAAAATGTCCCCTCCAATTTGAAGATAAAGACTTGTGTTTTGAACCTGAAACCTTCTCCCCCAAACCTCACCTTTACTCTGCACACGTAGGCAGTGGCAACAATTAGGATTTCAGTGATCAAGAACACCACCAGAAAACCTGTGAACTAGTCAGAGAGAAAGAGAGAGACCAGTTTAGTTTAAAAGCCAGCAATTTATCAGAATTGCTTTTCAGAACACAGCACTGTTATTTTTACCCTTCTATATCCATCCCCAACTCTTATTCAGAGGTCCAATTCTTAGCCTGCCCGGCATGTCAACTTCACTCTGGGACAACTGCAAAGCCAAACTCAACATTCATCCATTATTGCTGTCACTTATCTTCACAGATAGGTCAAAATGAAGTCACCATTAGAAAGAGTTGAAACTGAGAGGCTGAATGTGTCCAAGTCAAGCCACCAGCACCATACATGGGGAAAACTTGGCTCGTTCTATAGTGACTGCTTTATATGCATACATTTCCAAGCCAATGTATTTTGGGGCATATTAGCACTAAAACCAACAAGCACCATAATTGGATAGTTTTCCCCAACACATTTAACACAACTGGAATTTAAATGGCATACAACCATCTAACATAATTGTAGCTTCTTACAAAATAGAACAATGTTTACAGTCAACTCAAATAAAAAATATATTACTATGCAAGAATGGACAATTATATATACAGAATTCATAGCTTAATTTCTTGACACCAGGAGACAATTTCTTGTTTCCACGTATAGAACCTCAGGATTACAATAGGTTTAATCCAGTTCTACCTTAAGAGTTGATCTATGAAAGAATCAGAACTTAAGGAAGTATTGCTATGGCATCTAGCAACTCCAAACAAAATTGACGTTCAATCTTAAACACACTGAGAGACATTAAATTAACTCTACACATGTTCTGTATTGCATTTAATATTTGAATAGCCCTTACCATTTTGATCATGGCTTTGCTCGATCTGAATAAAGCAATTGCTCCAAAGCCAGACAGAATGATAATAAGCACACCAATAGCTGTTATGGTCACACCTATTCCTGAAGCAGCTTCATTCAGTATCACAAAAGCATTGTGGAGTTTTACTTGCACACACACACCTGTGATTATTAACACACCTCCAGCAACCTAGAGTTTGGGAGGTTAAAACATAATTAAGAAAAATAGGTAGAGGTTATTCTTCATGAAGGCAAATATATTTTGGTCAAATTAATTTCAAGCTATTTGTAACATGGATGTTCAAAGTCATACAAGGGAAAGTAGTATAGATAAGAAAAATATTGTTACTTGCATAGACATTTGCTCCAAGATCATAGTAGAGCTAACCCTTTCTGACCAAGGCTAGGCTTTAAAGAAACTACCCGGTAGGTCATTGTGTGGTTTGCTTTCTAATCCATTCTGTGGTTCATGGATTATACAGTACATATGAAACAAGCCATGATATAACAAATTTCAGGCTCTCTACTTTTTTAAAGTTTCAGGAGGGATGTTTAGAATTTCACACATAAATCAATAGTGTAGAAGAAAACAGGCTATGATATTATTAAAAGGAAAAAAAATCTAAAATAGTAAAAGCAGATATTCGTGGATTTTTCTAGGAAAATATTCTATAAGGATCATAGCAAAGCCACCCACTGTTTGTAAAATACTCAAGACCATTTTAAGCATTACACTATACCAATTTAAACAGGGTTTATTAAAAAACACACAGCTGTGTATATATAACATACAAATTCAGAAATAAGAAACAAGCCACATGTTTAGTACAAAGTAAATCAAACCATTATATATTATTTATTCTAGGGCTGAAAAATTAAACAGCATGAATAATAGGAAAAAGAAGCAAACATTTAAATCAAAGCATTTTAAATTAAAAGTCAATTATATTTATTGAAAAATGTAATTTGCTTTCAAATATTTAATTATCTTACAGCTTGAAAAACTTGTGGCCTTACAAAAAGTTATAATTGCTAAATTATGCAAGTTGAAAAAATTCATTTTTGCCATTTTGGTTTAGAAACACTGCTTTATGATTTAGCATGTTGTACAAGTACAGTACAACCACAATCTTGTTAACATTTTTCTAAACTAATATATTTCCAGTTATCCTATTACAGCTAATAACTACTATTATAACACATAACAGAATTGAGAAGTTGGTCTCCAAAAAATTGTGACATTTTATACTCTAGATACAAAGTGAGGCTACACTTACAAATGTAAAACACACGCAATCAATACCTTACCCAATAAAGTAAAACAGTCAGCCATAAAGCAATTTTAATGCACCACTCCCATATAATTATTCCTTCTGCTCTCATTTTGCCTGCTACCTCCATAATGCTTGAGACTAGTGGTGAGGATCAATAGCCCTGTGCTAATAAATGTTTGCAGTTGTTACAGATGTTCCCAATTTCAACCAAAAACTCCATTTACAGCTTGTGACATCACCTTAAAAAGGAATACATTTAATAATGTTCTCAAACCATTTTTCTTTCAGCAGCTTCACTAAAACCATAATCAGGATGTTAGGTTATTGTAGCCAACTGTTCCTGAAATAACTTTCATATAGAGCAAGTTATTTCAGGAGCACTGTGCTGTTTTACCATAGCAGCCTGTATGTGTGTGTTTATTTAGGGTATATGTATATATTATATACATGCATATACAATTGGTTTTTTTTCCTATCTAGTGTTCTTATTCTTATGCAAAGTGTACAAAAAAATAAGTATCCCAGACAGCAGATGCTGAACAGTCTACCAGGAAGAGCAAATCTATGCATGTACCATGAATTCTTGCTTAGAATCAGTAAATGGGTTTGCAGGATGTTCTAAATTAAACTGTAGTTAGTTAATTTGTGGTTCAGTGTGTTCTGCAGAAGAGACTGGCTCTGGGCCATTGAGTGGAACAAAAAGATACAATATAAGACAGCAGACAATTGATTCCTGTGGAACTCAGGAGAAACAGTTGTGCCCTGCAAGTAGAAAACCAAAAGTAGACAACCAAGCTCATTGCTATATGTGAATACTGTATAACAGAGGTCTCCAAACTTGGCAACTTTAAGACTTGTGGACTTCAACTCCCAGAATTCTCCAGCCAGCTATGCTTGGAGACCCAGCCAGCTAAGTTTGGAGACCCCTGCTATATAAGAACTGATATGATGAGTGCTGACCAGGCTCACCTATGTAGTTATGAAGTGTGTTGCCTGCCTGGGGCATGGATCAGGATTAGACAGCCAAGGATGATTAAATCCATACACATTTGTTCCTTACTGCTAATCCACAGAAGGACAAAAATATTGCAAACTCCAACTGTGGATCGCCTTAAATTTTGCAGCCAGGAAGGAAGCTCAAGAAACTTGAAGGATGATCTTCATTTACAAGGGAAGACAAGGAAAAAAAGAAGAGGGATGATTGGTTATGTAAATCATGTTGGCAGGATTTGGATTTTGGATTCATTGTCTGAATTATGGCCCAGAATAAACACCTCATGAAGGCGGGTGAAAAATGGCTCAGCTGAAATATGGAGAATTTTATCATGAGGCCTTTCAAATGAATCTTTAACTAAAATGAAAATCTGTAACTGAAAAGTTAAGATAAAGCTTAGGTATTGTAGTTGGTAATGGGAATGTTGCAGTAATGGAGACAATCCACTCAGTAGAAAAAGAAAAGTTAAAAATATATTGATTCATCAAGATTTTTGTTCTCCACATACTAATGTTTATATTTCAAAAATTAAACAAGAGAGCTGTAATTCTTAGTACAGGAAAGCAAAATATAAAATAATATAATGGAGACATAGTGGAAGATTCCTATGCTGGGGCGTAAAAGTCAAAGAATATAATTGTTTAAAATGAACAGATGTAGTAGAACAAGTTACACAGTATAGTAAAGCCACAGCTGCTAAAACTGAATAAACTTTAAGATATTGCAGGAAGCATCTGGGTTAAGTGGATGAATTAATTAATCACCATTGTTGGTGATAGTTCCTGTGCCCCAGCCAATCAAAGTAAAGAATCAGAAGGTGGTTTCCAAAAGCAAATTGCAAACCCTTTCAAAAAGTTTATAGTATTAATGATTATAGTATTAAGGACTCAAATTACTGCTGGGAATAAAGAAGCATGGTTTTTACAGGAAATTCTAGGTTTGTCTTGTAGACAACGTCCTCCTTCAGGGGATGAAGACCTAAAAGAATTAACTGTTTTTGATGATATACCAGCCTTTTTCAACTTTGCTTTTAACTCTGGAGGAAATAGTATTTCAGGAACTCCTGCACAAAAGCTATTATATTTACAGCTTACAACATGAGCTTTATTTGTAAATTACGTTGGTATTTTTTTCAAACCTGACTTTCATGGAACCCTAAATTTCATGGAATTCCAGTTGAGAAAGGTTGTATTGTAACAATTAACAGGGAAGACTTAACTGAAGTAGACTAGCAAGAGCATTAAGAGGAAGGGATTGTATGCATTATCTTGAACTTCAAAAAGTAGCTTTTAATGAAGTCAGAACAATTATAAGTTGATTTCGTGGCAGAAAACCTGATGGGAAAAATAAGATGTGGGGGCTTCTTAAAAAAGCAAACATTAAAAGCACTCTCACAATTCCATAAAGAAAAGGAAGATAAGACAGCAGAAGAGGCCATTTGAATGAAGAGGAAGGACAGTCACTAAGGAAGAATACAGATAAATTATCTGGACTAGTAGAGGAAGCACAGATAACCAATGTTCAGGGTTGTGGTTGGTGAAGAACAAAAGAAGCAGAATAAGAACAAGGGAGCAAATGATGAAATGTGTGTAGGCCTAGGCCTTTTGTATGTGCCACTGTTGCACACAAATACATGAGGGCTATTGCTTGGGTGAGGTAACAACAGCACAAGTTTTATCATTCTACAGAAGCTCTGGATTCAATGGTTGGCTTCCACCAAATGACCTTCAATTATGTTCAGAATAAAAGAAATAGATAATAATCAGTACAGGTAATCCTTGTCCTACAAGAGTTCATTTAGTGACCATTCAAAGTTACAGTGATACTGAAAAAAGTGACTTTCCACCATTTTTCACAGGTATGGCTATTGTATCATCCCCTGGTCATGTGATCAAAACCCAGACATTTGGCAACTGACTCATTTGTTGTATTGTTGTGTTCCTGGGTCATGTGATCCCCTTTTGTGACCTTCTGACAAGCAAACCATAGTATTAATAACTACTACAGTGATTCACTTAACAACTGTGGCAAGAAAAGTTGTAAAATGGGACAACACTCGCTTAACAAATTCTCACTTAGCAACATAAATTTTGGGCTAAATTGTGGTTGTACGTCAAGGATTACCTGTATACCAGTACTCAGTGATGATGGCAAAATCCAAATCAGTAAGAAAGAAAAGGCAGAGCTATACTACCATTTAGCTGTAGTCCTCTCCAACAAATATATATGTTTCACAAGAAATTATGAAGAGCAGAATATAATCCATGGAGCAAGGGTGTTCAAACTTGGCAAGTTTAAGACTTGTGGACTTCAACTCCTAGAATTCCTGAGCTAACATGACTGGAGGAGGAATTCTGGGAGTTGAAGTCCACAAGTCTTCAAGCTATCAAGTTTGAAGACCACTAGCATAGTTTCAATTCTATCCATTTAAAACATGGTAATGGAATTTTATTCTGAATGAGTTTAAAGCTGTAAAACCACATGAGCTGTAGCTTTAAAGGTAACTGAAAAGAATGGTGATTATTTAATTATTTTTGAACAGTTGAGAAATCCTGGAGAATGGGTACATACAAATGATGGTGAGTAAATCAAAAAATGGGGGGAGGCTCTAATGATTCACAGGTTTCCTGCATTGAACATGAGGCTGGACCCAATGGCATTTAAATTATATCTAAATTGTATGATTAACTTATCCTGTAGAGCAAGTTTATGGGTTAGTGTGTCATACAGACCTAGGGAATTATGTTATTTTACAAAGTGTGGTTCAGTTAACCATACATAAATAAGTTGTACAAACACAACTGTTAAGTGACCTTTTTGCCTGGAAGTGCTAATGTCAAAATAAGAATGTGCACACGGACAATAGTCAAGTAAAAGCTGAAAAGCAAAACCTGCAGGTGGTAAGCCTTGAAATAAGTAAGGCAGGGATCACATTAAAGAGGAGACTGAATTAAATCCCCCTTTAAGCTTGAATATATAGTAACAAGTGGCTCAGATTGCAGTATTAATTGATACTTTATATGTATTAAAGAGAGACTAGAAAGGGTTTAGCATTTTGTATTAATACAGTATAATATTCAGGTTTCTGTGGGTCTTAAGGACTCTGTTAACTGCTTTAGCTCTATGGAGACTATTTCACTTTTATCAAATACAGTTTTCAAAGTTCTGATTTAATTGTCCTGAAGTGGGAAACATTTTGCCATCAGAGGCCCTTCTCCTATTTTCCCTAAATCTCTGTAAGTTGAAGAAAGCCATTTTAAACCATGGTTTCTTGCAGAAGGCACAGTGGCATCACTACAAGCTCTAATTTCTATTAATGATCACAAGAAGTTTTAATTAACAAAACCATCTGCTTTTAAAACAGATTTGCAGCACTCTAGATCTTCCTTTGCTTTACTGTTTTTTTTTTATTAAAAGCCTAAAAAACCTAGAAACTCTCCAGACCCATAAACAATAACCCACAAAATTTATGCTGCTCTATCTGGGTATTAAGATTGTCACCCTTTCCTTTTTGGACAACTGGTTGCAGAGCTAATTTTTTTTTTGTATATTCCAAACTAAATATAAGCCATCTAGCCAATAGCAGGCTATTCAACTCAATTCAGTAGGATGCAATTCATGCTAGAAAGGAAATGGTTTATAGAGCTGATACTTTCAGAATGGGGTCAATGGGGTAAGGTGAGGTTTGTTTGTTTGTCCAAACACAGTATGTGAAGCCTCCCTAAGAGCTTACCTCCCTTATTGAATATCCCCCACTCAAAAACAAAGAAAAAACAACCTGTCACCCCCCAAAAATGTTTCTTGTTAAATTTGTTACTTGGTTCTGAGAACAGTAAATATGAGTTGGAACAGAGACTTTAGACCACTTCTTTTTCAAACTTGGCAACTTTAAGATGGGTGGACTTCAACTTCCAGAATTTCTCAGCCAGCCTGAGCACAACACATCCTAGAGTTGCCAAATTTGGAAAACTATTTTAAACATTGACCACAATTCTGCTGAATTTGGTGATGCTTATTTGTGTATAGCTTTAAAAAAACAACGACTGAGGCAGCTGCCCCATCTGATATTTCATTGACCAATTCTGAATTCTATTGCAAGCAAACATTCTCCAAAC